TAGATACACTTTTGCATAAAGATCAGGAGTTCCTTGAGCCTTTGTAAATAAATGGCTGCTTGGGGAGTGGAATGCTTCCTCTCACATGTGCACAAGGTCCAGGGTGCAGGGTAATTTTATGAATCTCCAGTGTAAATACTTTCAAGAGCCTCTTGTGTAGCAGAGGTTTCCTGATGACCATTTGTTTTCAAATAGAAAATTCCCAAAGGGAAGCTACAGATGCTTACCTTCAGTAAAAGCTGCTTGGGAATAACTGAGATACACAATAATCTGGTTTACAATCAGAGAACACATGCCTGGGGCTCAGAAGGAGTTGCAGAGGGTCTTTACCCCCACCAAGGGGGTGTGAGAACACAGACACAGTGCCCACAGGTGTCTGTGATTTGGGAAAAGTTAGACACATTTAGGATCACCCGAATCTTACATTCTTCCTTAGGCATCCAAGATTGGCTGATGGTGGAGACAAGAAATTGAGTTACAGGAATTCCAAACACAGCTGACATCTTTGTGTCCTTGGTTTCAGATGGATAAAGAAGCAGAGGTGCTACTCATGCTCAGACTGACCTTCATTTTCTCTGATGAACTACATCAAGGCTTTCATACACTCCCATAAACTGATGCTGCTCTTTGGTGACATGTTGTTTTTGACCAGAAGTACAATGTTCAATTCTTACAGTATGAAAGGTCTAATCTACATCCTTTCTTTGGTTACTCTAAAACAAATGACATTTACTCTTCAATATTCTTCCATGCAATAGAAGATGACAGCTAGCACAGATCTGAAAAGATTATTAGTAATTTCATAACTATAAAACTTCCTTTGGACTGTTTCATACTTCTGTTAATATTTATCAGCTTAATAATTTAGCTTTTTAATTCTTTCCTTGATGGTTACATCTGTATCCATGTGCTTGTTATCCTTCTTTGGACCTGGAGAGACAATGGGTGTTAACAAATTTGTGCCACAGTCCAGACAAAGAATGTTTTCTATCTCTCCAGTTTATTTTCTATAGTCTTGTCTTTTCTATAGTCCCTGTCTAACTGGGTCCTAACAAAAGTACAAGCTTTTGGAAAAGTGTACTTTCCCCGAGGGAAGTTAGGCCAGTCTGACCTCCTCAAATTATACTGATCAAAGTGATGTACAGATTTTCAGAAATGCTCACATACACAGGCTTTCAAAGTGTTTGTTCTGGAACTGATATACAGCAGAGTCAATAACTCTCAAGAATTCCTCAGACTTCTTTAAGACAGAGTCTCTATATACTTGCTATTTTTATTCAGTGTTTATCATTGTCACATACTGCTATTTCACACACTCTTTCATCTACAATGGCCAGATAAATACCATCTGGTTACACTAAAGCCTTCAGGCAGAATAATAAAGATGTAGATGTGTACATAATGCTCTTTCAGGTGCAAGAATGATAACAGTTCCCACGTCCCACGAGACCTGCCTTTTAACACCAGACAAAGCTGGATGTGAACGTTTAGCACATTTATTCAGAAGGGGGGAAAACCACATTCTCATCCTTTCTTCCCAAACTTATTTCTGCTTTTCACTTGATGACAGTGTAGTAAAGCAGTATCAACAAATTCAAAAGTTTCTTGTCCTCCTTTTCCCTTCTAAATAGTTCTTCCAGACTTCAGTACCTGGGATGTCTTTCAGCTGTGCTGCAGTGCTCATATGATTATTAGCATCTTATTTTAATGACCACAAATAAATAGTGCCTAGCAGCCTGGTCCTCCCCAGGCAGGACCATGGTGTTCTGGCATTAATGATCTGGACAAGCCATCTTCAGGAGTAGAGAGGGGGGAGAAATCTGTGGGAAATTGCTATTCTTTGGAAAGGCTGCCATGTAATGTACCAACATCCAAACTTGTAGTAAAGGGAATGAACAAATGGTAGGAAAAAAATCCATCCATTGGTTACAACTGGACGTGAAGCAACAGCAGAAAGCAACATCCCTGTGTAAAGCTAATCTAGTCTTAGTCACTGTCGAGGACTAATCAAATCTGATGTCTTCTAAAACAAACTTGCCACTGAAAAGTGCCAAAAAAATACTAACATGCATAAGTAGTGACAAAAAGCTCAACACATTTGGAAGTATATGCTACAACAATTTGCCTGCTCTAAAATAGCACCATGTTATATCAGGTATGTTTGGCATTCATTGTTCTTATGGTGAAACCTATACTAAGCTGTGTTTTAATCCTATTGAGCAAGTCAAGAGTATATTTAAAATTGCTGGACCTAAAAAAAAAAATTCAAAAATTGAATTTTGCTAAGAAAGACTACTTAGACTAAAAGTTGCATACTACAAAATTTAAAAAGCAATTCACCCTTTCTTCAGATTTTTTCCCATTCACATTTTGCTAACAATTTCTCAGACAAAGTGTGCTAGCACTCGTCACAATTAAGTCACTAAAAAGTTCTTTTTAATCCGTTTTGTTTACTACTGAACACAACAGCCAAGAGCTGATGATGTCCTAGGTAAGTATGGGTTTTTCCTAAAATGGCACAGGCTCTTCTGAAGAATTGAGATTTATAGAACTGAAAGCAAAATGCATTTGAAGAAACACTGTATCAGTGTGGAATTCAGATTTCATTCACATGGGAAATGTCATAGTATGGGAAATAAAGTCCTCAAGTAAAGTTGTGTTTATCAGAAGTTTGTTTTCCATGCAATAAATTTCCATCAGTGTTACTGGATTGAAAAAGACATGTCAACCTTATCTTTTAAAAATTACCAGGATTGCACTGCCATTTTATTCCGATGAGAATGAAAAACAAAATTCTCAACCAGCCCTGACACAAATATTAAATGTTCATATGAAATAAGATGTCCTTGTCATGTGTGCATAACTCAATTTAGCACTGTGAAAGAGAAATAATGCTAAAAAATGTCACATGCATAATTATGCCTAATTCATTTCTTGTTATGTTCCTGACAGACCAGTTGCTGGACTTCTGCATAACAAATGGTGAAATGATCTTGATCTCATACAACAGAAATTGTTTTTCTGTCACTTTGAGTCTGGAAAGCCCAAAAGAATGACAATGATGTTCCACCCTGTAATTCATAAAGTGTTCTTAATCTACATAATTTATATTATATGAAATACATGTGCCTGCCACAATAGCATGGAATGTGATGTTGATCTGTCACGGATCTATCATTTATCTGCTCTGTGAGGGGTAACAGCTGCTTGGCTGCACTTCATTCTGTATTACTGCCTTATTTTTACCCCAAGGCTGAGCCACTAATTACCCCAGCCCTAACAGTAAGCCTGGCTGAAAGATATGCCTGGACTGCTGCCATGGAGGCTCCAAAAGGCTGGATGTGGAGTGGCCACCCCAAAGCATCCCATTCCTGCCTGACACCGGGGAAATTCAGCTTGTTGGTTCCCCTTCCATAATTATATCATGCTTCATGCAAACCATAAGGTTCAATAGGTGAAGAGGTCTTGTAAGGAATTTGAACATTTGCCATCTTATCATTAGGTAATGACATTTTAATAGTTTAATTAACCATTAGGCAGTGAGAAGTTCAGCATGAGAATGGCTGAAACTGCCTAGTAATTAAGTCATGAAACAAGATATGCTGCAGGGAAGGAGAAACAATCCTGTTTGTTTTGAAGGGGGTCTTAGGGTTGGGTGATGGGACAAGAGGGAGGCTGCTCAGTCTACAAAGGTACAATAAAAGGGTCAGAAGGCATTTAAAAAAACCAAAAAAACTGTAAATAATAAAAAGAACTTTTGATATTAAAAATGCCCATTAGGAACAAGATGTACATAAAATAAAACCATCCTAAGACATGACAGTAAAATACAAGTGTTGAGCTAATTTACAGTGTTGACAGTTTTGTTTCTCACCTATCCAGAAGAATTTTAAACAGGGTGAAGATGTAAAAATAGACAACTGCAGAACTTCTAATCAACTAGCACCTGGGAAGCAGTGCATGTGACACAAGGAGTTACACCTGCTAATGAAGTGACATGGAAACAGCTGCACTACAAACTATTTTTAGCAGCAGAAGGAACAAGTCCCAGTGACACTGGGTGAGCTGAGGAGCAGAGAGTTAGATAAGTTCCCCGCAGGTCCCTCAGTCTACACCGACCCCTCAGCCAAAAACTCTGGAGAGCTCTGTGGAACTACAGTAGCTGTTTTTTCCAACTTGGTATTCGTAGTGACAAAGACTCAAAAGTGCCACTTTGAGCCAACCAGCAACAGACAGTCAGGCACAGATACAGCTGAGTAACACAGCAACTAAAATGGAAAGAAAGATGATAGCTGGCACTCCAGTAACAGCACAGGCAAATTATTTACTTAGGAATAAATTATCAGTCCACCACCAAGCATAATAAACAGCAAACCCTGAAGCTCTCTGTCCCTGAGTTTTCCCCAGCAGAAACTCCAGAACATGTTTTCTGGCTAGAATACTCAAGGAACGTAAAACCAATCTAATTTTCTTAAGGTCCTTAAAAGTAGGTAGTTTAAAGTACTAAAGCAAGTGAAACCCACTTGTATAGAATGCTGTTGAGTGTTTGTAAGATTATTGGCTGTGTGCAGCAATTTGAAAATTTGTCAGTAGAATACTACTGCTATGCATTTTACCTTTAAAATATGTGCACTTCAGCAATTAGATGTACATGGGTACATGTACACATAAGTAGCACAGCAGAGGAAGCGAGAGAGAATTTAAGATGATGCCAAATCCCAGTGCTAGAAGGTAAATGGACTCTGCTGCCTGTGTCTCCAAGTTCCTTTTGACTGCAAAGGGCACTTGTATGTAGAACTGGAAGAGGGAAGCAGAGGGCAGAGGTGTCAAAGGTAACTCCTGTAAAAGCCCAGTGATTGAAACAATGCCCTGCCAGGGGGCTACAGGATGGCTGAAGTGCTGTGGAGATTATCATCAGAGCATTTCAAAGCACCTGAAGTTGGTTCTGTATATAAACAAGCATACAACAGCTACAGCATGTCTCATAAGCCTCAACTCACCTGTCATAGATGGAGCCAGTTTTCTTTGCCCTTTGTGGTCCACAGTACCTTCATAAGCCACAGTCACATCATACACTGCATCCAGATATTCTTTCATGGAGTCAATGGCTACATGAGTCGCCTTCACCCGTGGAGTCAGCACATGCTTTAATATAGCAAGTCCTAGAGGGAAAAAAAATAAAAAATAACTACAGTGTTTGAAATCAAACTGGACTATATTCACAAAAGGAACATCACACCAAGGAATGTCAGCATCTCCACTCAAAATCACAAGAGCTTTACTTTCAATCTCAATTCTCAGTTGAGAGAGTGTGCATGTGTACTCACTGCTTATGCTCTACTGAACATATGTAGAAGATGAAATAGAAATCCTAAAGGACATTAACAATAGGAAGGCTGCTCAGTAAGAGGGCCCTTTTTTACAACTCCTCACTAGAAGTAGTGATGGTTTCAATGTGGCTCATGAGTGATGACACAGCACTTCTCTTTACTGTTTATGTGTGTCCAGCTGAGGTGGAAAAAAAGAGCAAATTATCTGAGAAATACTAAACACACATAGCACCACCTCCTGAAATTCTGTATCAGAAAAAGATTTCACAGATAATCACAGAGAATTTTAAGCACACCTAATGCTCATCCAGCATTTTACTTCCCAAGGACAAAGCAATTTAGTGAACATACTGAATCCTAACCTACTCACTATCCCAGCAGAATCTTAGCAGCAGTGGGGCAAAATACACCACTGAGAACCAAAACCAAGGAGGAAATCTTCTGTGCTTCTCTGCAAACAATCTGTTACAATTGACTTGGCTACTGACAAACTCTCAGTGACAGAAATCAACTTTTAACTTTTCCAGGCCAAGCCACAGAGATTGGTATGTCAAGGACACATGAATATCAGGTTTAACATCACACCACACATTTTAACAACAGTATTTCATATCCATGTTTACTTCAGTTGACCACTTCCACTTAGAGCGTACTTAAGAACATTAATACACATTGACCTCAAGAGGAAAAACCTGGTTCTTTTTCCAGAATTTTAATATACAATGACTTTCAAAATTAAAACCAGCAAGCAAGCAAATAAGCCCAAACCCAAAACCTTTTCTTCACCTGAACACAGCTCTTCCATATTTACTTGAAAGGGATTCTAGGAAAAAAAAATGCATGCTATGTAAAATTTTTCAGTATTTTTCTATGTGTATGTTTCTCAAACAGAAGTATCAGAATAAAATTATGGCTTTTCATTTCTAGTCTTTTTTTTCTTTGGCTTACTCTTCAGTCCATTTTTAAAGAACCATCCATCGGTGAATCTACTGGTTCCTGGTGGGTGAACCAGGAATTTTTTCTGAACCAAAGTATTGTGCTATTGCTTTTGATACCTTTCTGCTTGCTAAACCAATTCAAAACATTCTATATTATGTCCTGATTTTGTACTGAACTCCCTTGCTGGATAAAACATACTTTGATCTAACTTTATGAAAATATCTAGTGAACATTGTAGGATAGTGCTCATTTCTACACCACTTTTAACATTCTTAAGAGTTGAAAATTTCAATATAAATCACTATCTTGATTTTTTTAATATTTTCTAAGAATATCCTTGTCTGAATGCAAAGATAAAAGACTGTTTATCAGCACTCCTTCTGAAGCCATTGTTCCATGCCTTACCAGCAATAGTGATAACTGTCTATGCAAAATGTTATATGGATCATGTAAATATTTTGAAGCATAACATAGTGGTAGTGTTTTCTTAGCTTGTGAACTGTTACATCAAACAGCTAATTATATTATGTTTCAAAATGTTTACTCTGTAAATGAAGCACTGAATATTCTTGTGCTGTGTCAGCAATGATATTAGTGTGGACATGACACTCAACACAACTCTTGCTGAGCCAAATTCCCAAACATATTCTAAAAACACTGTCATTCCTTTCCTGCCCAACTCATCTTTCCCTTCACCAAACTATTACTGTGAGGAAGAAAAAGGGAAAATTGTGAGAACTGAATAATCTAGACAAATTATTAAGTTAGGTATCTATGACTATTAACTGCTAATTTTTTTTTAATCTATGTCCAGTTCTGATGATGAAGATGGTCAGTGACAATCTGTGAAGTGCAAATGAGCCAATCCTATTCCACATGCTCTCAGTGTGCTCTTGAGAGTTCAAGTACAATATGAGTATGTATCTAAATCAATAAAGTCCATAATCCATTATTCAGAAACACTACAGTGCATGATAAACATGCAGAAACACCAGTTCAGCACATCCTTTTAAAGAATCTGTTCTATAAAAACATTATCACATATTCTTACACTTACTTATGATCTTTGCTAAAATCAACATAACAGAATTTAAATCCAAGTAGTTACAGTATAGTTACCTTGGCAAGCTGCCTGCATCCAATTCACAAAACACACTGTGCTTAAACTGTTTTTAATGTTGTGCAATACAGTTAGGACCCTCTGTCAAAGTATTTAAGGTCATGAGATTTTATTTTAAATGCCAAAGAAAATGAACTAGATACTAGTAATATTGTAATGTTCTACCTTAAAAAGCCATAGCTTTGCTCTCCTAACTTTTGAATGATAGACAGTAAAAAAAGGAAATCTGAAGAAATATGATGAGCAGTGATACTTCAAAAATCATCCATTTACTACATTATTGTAAGATGTAGAATTACTTCAGAAAGTCTGCAAGAAAACTGAATGAAATAAAATAATTACTTTGGCAAGTACAAAGACCCAAATCATTAACATCTATAGAACTGATTTTTTCACCTAAACATAAAATAACAAAAAGACACTAAACAAAACATCATTTATCTAACTTCATCAGGGTGAAGTAACATATAATAGCAGCTAAGTACAACTCTGTGTAGAAGATTGGCATCCTCTTGATCCAGGCCAGACACTCAAAGAGCTGTTCAGTACAGGCAGGCCATCCACATTTTCAGAGTTGGACTTTGTTAGTTATATTTCTACCCTTTATGTGTACACACCACATTTGAAAAAGTAAACAGTAAAAATTGTCAGCTCTAATTTAAGAGTACTCTATGTGTATTACATCAGCATTACAACATTTCATCAACAAAAGTTAATTACTCACTGAAAGTGGATGTCAGAATTAGTTTGAGGTCTCCACACCTCTCTCCCCTCCCTATGAAACTATGTATTGAAACTCAACTTTCATGTACACAAAATCTAAAACCAGGGTGAAAATCAATGAATTGATTTCAAGAACAATTAGATCTTTCCTTTTCCATATGAATGTGTGTGCAGTGAAGAGATTAGACAGACATACTAATTAGACAGAAAAACTGCAGCTCTGCAGTTACGTGCAGTGTCCCAAGTACTCACCCAACTCTTGAGCTCCCACCAGCTTTCTGGAATGCCTCCAGTGATTCAAAGCTTTACATATTGAAACCAGAATCCATAATTAGACTTAAAAAATAACAAATGGTGGGAGAGCTCATCCATTTGTATGCTAGTATTCCATCAACTTACAGAAACAGGACTCAGATGATAGCAGTATAAAAAACTGCATGCACTAGTAAAACTGTTTTTCTGTTACAAAAGTATACAGGAAATGCAACTAATCTCCACAGGAAGAGCATGATCAGCCCACAGCAAGACATGGGAGACAGCACACATTGGTACACTTTCTTCCAAGATGGTTACTTACAGAAATACAATGTAGCTTCTTGTTTTCCTATCTTAATTTCCTATGTATGGCTGTTAATAACATAGACCCTTACTTCATTCTAATGCTTGGTCTCAAATGCTACTCAAGGTCCATAACCTACTCTTTTTAAAAACTATATTCTTTGTCTACATCTCACTAAGCACTTTTAGACCAAGCCTGCTTTCATGAAAGTGTAGAATAAACACCACCAAAAGCTATTTTCTTTAGAGACAATTCCAAACAACTTTTAAGGATACTGAATACTTTGAATTGCCTTAGAGTACAATTGAAAACTAATGCCAAGATCTAGAAGGAAAAACATTTTCAATTTGCTCCATTGAAACACCTCTTTTTCACATTACCTGTAAAACAATTTTGAGATAAGCATATCCTGCATACATAAACATCTTAGCAGAAAGCATATTTGTCAAGCTAAGCTTAGCATTAAAAAATATTTACATTAGCAACTTTTCTGCATAAAACCAAAGATGATAATAAATGCATACCTTAAATATTTGCTTGATGAAATGACCTTTGTAAGAAATTGAACATTAATACAAAATTCCAAAAACGCCTTTCACCAGGGAAGATTGTTTTGTCTTCATTCAGCAAAAACAAGCCAAGTTAAATTTAAGAAGCTTCTCATCCCTTTGGCTTTGACTTTTCAGAGCTAGTAATATTAGGAGTAGGAGGGCTTTGGATTATTTCTATTTATTTTCAAATTTTTAAAATGCCATATGTTAACATCTTGATAGAATTAATATTCTACTTAACCAAAGAAATTTGTGGTGTTTGGGATATTCTGTCCAGGGCCACGATTCAGACCCAATGATCCTGATAGGGAACTTCCAACACAGCATATTCTGTGATTCTATGACTGACTACTACAAAATGATAAGAAATCCACACATAGATATTTTGGCTACATACAAATGAAATAAACTTTATACCAGAAGCTCGCAAAAAAAACAACCATCATGTGTATCACAGGGTTTAGAAACATTTTTCTCTATGTCCAATATCATTATAAAGACCCAGGCTTAAAAGATTTACAGTTTGAATTAAATAGATCCAATAAAAATTACCACTTCTATTGTTATGACAAACTTAGTTAAATCCCTATGAAAATATGAGTCCCACGTATATATTAAGACTGGACTCAGCAACTCAAGCTCACTGACTAGTGGGGAAGAAGTCCTGCACTTTTAAGATTTCTAAACCCATGGAACAGAGCCTGAAAGGCATCACTAGTATGTAAGCTGAGTGACGGCATCAGACTTTGAAGACAGGAACCATGCTGGCTGACCACTCCCACACAGTGGAAAACAAAAGCAAACTTGACTACTGACTATATACTTAAATACTGGAAATTGGAATGCAAAAGCTCAGAAGACAAGGGGCAAAACCCATGCCATCATATTCTTAGCTCTTTGAGAGAGCAGAGGAAGAAATATTTGATAATGGGAATGTTGCAATATGTACCATTAGAAACATGGGAGTCACTAACCATACCGAAACATGGAGGGAGTGCCCATCCTGGTAGCAATTCCTGGAGTCATCTCACCCAGGCACCTACTTTGTGCCAGGAGAGGACAATGAGCTGTATCAGGCTCAAATCCAGCTACATGGCACACATGCCCCTTAGCTTGGAAGCCTCCACCAGAAATGAGAAAACCTAACACATCTACATCTGATATTGTGGCAACACGTGGCTTATGTAGCTTGTTGTAGCTGTAAAATTCCAGCAAATATTATTATTTTGGGCAAAAAATATAAATACTGGATTAATTAACTTTACAAAATTCAACTTGTTCTATGATTAACTCCTGCATTAATCCTACTACAAATAATGAAACAACTTAGTTTTAGAGACTTTTGCTTTCATTTTTAAATGTCAACAAGTTTTTTTCCCAATACAACCAGACAAACATACTTTGAGTTTACCTTCTATCCCAGGTAAGAAGCTGATCTGAGGGAATCTTCTGCCACTTGTAAAAGTGAGTAATCCTTCAGTTTTTGGAGGTACTAGCATTGCCATTAGATGACAACATTCTCAGTTCATCACCACAAAATCAATATTCCTGGAAGTAACCAACTTTCTGTTGCTAATTCTGACTGAATCCAATTCACTGTAGAGAACTTACAATGGACCCACCCTGTGTGTTTGATTTGCTTGTTTCATAAAGAAGAAAACCATCTTTTCTTGATAGAAATTGAGATTTTGTGTAGAACTCAAGCCCTATGGTAAAACAAACTGTAACATGAATAATTATTGGTATTTTTAAATGCTGCCTCTCTTTCAAGGGCTTAGAGTTTTAATTTTTTTGCTGCTTGATATCCTTCCATCCTATTCACAGACAATTAAGATTTATTTAAATAATCATATCAATGAGTGAACACACAATAGTTGAAATCAGGTATGTCACAATACTTCATTGTATGTCAATATCAGCTTTTCAAAATTTAATTTTAAATTTCATTTTGTTGAACTGGTCCTAGGATCAACTGTAAAGAGCCAGTAACTGTATGCAAAACTTAAAAAGAACATCAACATATGAGATGCAGCTCATCAGCTGGTCCCACTAAGAGCAGGTAATTAAGTTCAGCCCAAGGATTCTGCCTAAACCAATGAATCTTATGTATCTTCTCAAGAAGAGGATGCAGCTCACAGAGAGTAAAAGTAAAATCCCACAAAAGCCTTTTTATACTTCCTCTCTGCAAAACTACTAAAACACATAAACACACTAATGTCAAAACCAGTATTTCAGACAGCATCATAAAAATTGAGTTATGCTTGTGCTCTAGGAATAGCTTTGTTATCTTTGGGGGTAATAGCTCTGGTTCTAACATTTCTAGTTTAATTCTTCTTAATTAAACCACTTTCCCCAATATTAGGCTTGTAGTATTTTGTCAACATAAAATTGAGCAAAAATGTAGGGAAAAAAAATCATTTCAAAGTAAAAAAAAGGAAAGAAATTCCCCTATGTGTCGGTCAGGCCCACACTGAAGCACCGTGCTCTGTAACAAATACACTAAGATGACAAGACTAAATTATTAGCCTTCATTATATCCCCACAAAGAATGACGTGCAATTTTATTTAAATTGTAAGTTACAGTATGTCCTCCTCATTCCTCTGGCTGGCAGAACTGCTGTGTGTTTTTACCCTTCCTACAAGGGCAGGAAGTGAGAAGTCTCTGGGATCTCTCGGGCAAGCATGGCAAGGTGTGTTTGCTGGAGCTCAGCAGTTCAGTAACAGCGCTCCCAGGGACGCGGCCGTGGCTCAGCCTGCCCGTGGCCATGGCACTCCCTGCTGCAGCCCCAGCACCCAGCCAGCACCGCGGGGACACCGGGGCTGCTCAGGGCAAGCCCCAGGTCAGGGCCAGCAGCACTGCCCAGCAGCAGGGTGGGACCCTGGGGAGCTGGGCTCACATCCTGCCAGCAGCCACGTGGAGCTCCCCATCCCCACAGTTCCCAGTGTACTGGGATGTGCCCTGGACTGGCACGTGCTCGAGGCTCAGCCCTCAGAACAGCCTGGTTCTGCTCTCAGTATTGGCCCCTGCTTCTCAACACATCTGCACGAGGGATGCTCCAGTTCCTCTGAGCATCTGTATCTGTGTGGACATGCAGGTGAGCAGGGCCCCAGGGGAGCACAGACTGCCTCCCATCCTCCCCACCTAAAAAGTGGGAACAGAGGCCAACAAAGTAATTTAGCAGTGGGGAGAAGGAGATCAAGAGGATTCTGCAACAGAATTGGAGATACTTCTTGTTTAATAATTATTTGTCGTGAGAGCTTTTAAAAGGAGTAATTGTTGCAAAATAAAAATAGACCAGTACTGGAGAGAAAACCATTACAAGAAACAAACAGGTGCTCTGAAAGCACAAAAGCAGTGTTTTACTGTTTTGCAGACTGCAGAGATATAATTAAAAAGTGAAATAAAATAATAGTAAAACAGTAAGAGCCTTTTCCCTGAAGAAGGAGGTGAGGAAAAAAAAAAATATCAAACAGCCCCCTCCCTCTAAACTCTCAAAGAACCACCAACCTAAATGAAACATTTGACTTTCATTTCCGACAGGAAACTGAAGCGATGAACAAATACTTTATGACTTCAGCTCTCCTGCTCATACACGCAAACAAATTCCATTCTTCCCAAGGAGAAGAAAAGCATATATCCTTTTGGACAAGAGCTAACAATACTTAATAGCTTGATTATATCAACAGGCTGATTCTCAGACTTGTGAATTCATTTCAGTGTGTCACAGAGATGAATTTACCAGACCTATTTGTTATTCTTTGTTTACTTTTAGAGTGAATTATTTCACTTTTGGTCAACAGGAAAAAACAAAATCAGGAAACATGCTCACTGAAGTGTTGGATTTAAAGTTTACGTGCATATGATGTGAGAAAGTATGAAAAATCTTGGGACTCTTGGATTATCTGCAAGCCTTTCTGAAGATGAAGTAATTCCATCTGTGTTATAGAGACAATGCCAACAATCAAAGCAACTCCAGAATAAAGTTCGACCATGGAACAGTGAGACTGGAAGGTGAGAGAGGAAGAAAACCAAAATGCCATAGGAGTACTAACACTAATTGAAAGTGAAATGATGGAAGACTCTTTCTTTTAAGACACAACAAGCTTTATGCAAAATATTCTTTATATCGACTAACAACTGTAATTGGAGCTACAATATCAACTTAGATGGACCAGTGCCCTGATTCAGTGTAGGCAATTCCTACAACCTTAAGGAGCAAGAAGATAAGTAAATACACAGCTATAGGTAGAAGCTGCAGCGAGCCTTCTGGAGTACTGTTACTATTGTACATTGTAAAATGTGTGAAATTTCTGTATATGAGCTACCTTAATCTTACTCTGTAAGCAAAACAGTAGTTTATACTATTCTAAAGCTTTAAATACCAAGCAGGTTTAAAAGTCCAGTTAAGGTGAGATGATCTTCATATTATGTAACAATTTTATATAATATATGTTAGCACAGTAACAAAAGAATTCTTTCAAAATTTTTTTTGCTTACCTTCCTTTTCAGCAAACGATTGACTATCCGCAATGACTTTTGGTATTTCTGGATTGTAACGAGTTCCCTCTGGAAAAATCACTAAATACATCTGTAGAATTAAAAAAGAAATAAAACAGACAAGTTCTTATAATCAGTGTAAACTGACTGCTTTTACAGAAATTATCAACACTTTATAGGTCCATATTGTATTTAGCTCACACCATTGACTACTGTAAATCAAGGATCAAAAGAAAATCAGAATACTTGAGCTAACATTTCTTAGCTCTAAGAAACTTACTGCTCAAGGTTCATAATAATTTCCTTTGAAAATACACCATAGAATATACTCCATGTGATTTGGGAAGGGAGGCAGCATGTGTCAACAGAAGTCAGCAAGTCAGGAGCAGCTGATATCAACAAGAATATCAGTTTTAAGAGATTTTGAAAAGACAGACAAATAAATCACAAAGTGACCAATTTATTTTAGTAGTGATCTTGCCTCTAGTCTTTCCTTATACTGAAATATACAATAATTCATTCATTATTAGAAATACTATAAATTGAAATTATAGGTCTGTTGGGTCTTTTATGTCTCTCATTGAATTGGATATTAAATATATTCGGAACTCAAATTCATAGTTTAGTGTAATTTGAACTTTAAAGTCACATTCCTTTAAGCATGAGTGTCTGCAAGGTTAGATTTCCCCAGTAAATTAATTTCCTTGCCTGTTCAGCACCAAATCTATGGGTTCTCAAATGACTACACAGGTAAAGGTTGCCTAAGTATCTGCATATCTGACTGTAAAATTATGTATCCAAATAGGAGGAGCCAAATTTGACAATTTTCCATTTTCTTTTGAAACAGAACAGAGGGGTTTCAGGATTTTTGTGTGTGTGTGCGTCATGCATAATCTCCTACAAACAAAGCTGATGCAAAACATCACTTAAACAGTGAAAATTCCATATTGGGGGCTCATCTGCAGAAGCAACTGTGGTCACAAATGATTACTGCCATGGAGTTAAACACGACACATTCACAGTAAAATGCCTAATGTAAATAATTTATTAACTTTGAAGAAAGCAGTCTCAAGAAACATTTGAAAGAAAATAAGATAATGGATTTACAAAACAGTCCAAGGAATATTATCAGTGATTAGACAGAGACTTTGATAATTGGAGTGCACATCACATTAAGATACAAAGTTAAATAAAAACTCAAAAAGAGACACATAGGAATGCAACTTTGTGCTTCTAGCCCACAAAACATCAGAGCGTGCTGGTATTTGCACTTAATGATTGTGGAACAGCTACAGAAAGGGCTGAATGCCAAAAGACAGGCCCCAGCAAATGACCTCTCTAGAATCACCCCACAGTGAGGAAGGTTGAAAGATGCACTAAAATGCAGAGGTGGGAAGAAATCTAGGAAATGTGCCAACCAGAGAAGCCAGCTGGAGATCAAGAAAAAGGAGAGCTGAGTACATAGCCTAGAACCTGACAGGGAAAAAAAAAAGGAAACAAACATCAAAAATAGCAAAACCAGTGTCAGCAGAGTAAAGAGAATTAGGAGAAAGACTACAGTATGTTTGGGGGAAACTGGCAGACTGCAGAGGCAGGTGAAGTCCAAGAATGTTCAAGGACCCACAGAAATCCAAGATGTGTATAGATCTGGTGGTGAGGGAACAAAAGAAAATGGGTTTAAGAGTCAAGGTGCGTACTTTTTCATATATAACTGTAGCATAAGTATAGGGACAAGCACAGGAATCCTTAGACCCAGATGTAGTCCACACTTCCCCCAGTCATCTATACATTTCATAGAAGAAGTATAATGTTGAAATATTTAAGTGACTAAGTAAAACTTTTCAGAGGTAGCTGGAAAGGACATAACATTCAAATCCAGATCCATTTTCTATCTTTTCATATATGTGCTTATGTGCAAAACTTGTAATTTGGATGCTGAAAATGGTACCTCAAGATGAGCTGTTCCAGTTCCACCCCCATTAAAGACTGCATTGCTCAGCTCTAAAGGGTAATACAGAGACTGTAACAGGTTATAGAGCAAAGGAAATGAAGCACCCAGGACAGGAATACCAGTCTTGGTACATAGCTCAGCACTTAAAAGCAGGCAACATTGTTACTGGTCTTCAAAGCAGATAATCACCCCTAAAAGCTGGTTGCACAACAGGGAACAGTATCTACTTACTGCAGACCTATGTGTAACACAAACCAGGGACTGAAATTGTATTTTACTTACTAGTAAACCTCTACAACACAAGCAGCCAAACAGGTTTCTTGACCAGAATCTGAATATCTCTGAGTTAAAAGCACACTAACAAGACAGAGAACTGGCCTTTGCATTAAATTCAGCATATAATAACCTACTATATAGCTCATTAGGACTGTTTTAACAGTAGAATTCATGAATGTAAATAGATGACCTACTTATACTCACATACAGTCCTGCACAAGACAAAGATATCCTGCCAGTGCCAGAACCACTTGTACAACTGGCTTTTCTCCCACCGTGGGCAGCAGAAGTTAAATCCTTAAGCACTATTTCCAAACACTGTAAGAACTACAAATCTCCAAGATTTTAATAACTAAATAAGCTCCCCTGAACTTGAAATAAGAACTTGTAGGAACATTTTAATTGCCTAGAAACACTAGCTGCAGTTTAGGCCATTTTTAATACAGATTTTTCAGTTAGGGCAATTAGCTACATAAAAGTTACACACTTTATTGCTGCAAAATACAGTGCTCATGTTCAAAACAGCAGCAACAGTTTTGGATTACCACAGTCCCTGATTCACTGAGACACCAATTTTAACCCAAGCAATAGGTCCCTATGCTCAGGTATGCATTTCATTCCATCTGTGGAATAGGTGGGTGTCAATAAACTTGGTATATCTCATCAATTTGAAAGTTTCAAGGAGTGGATCAGGATTCATTTAGTAGAACCCTACTGATTCTTGTTGGAGCCAGAAAATCAAAAAAGATGTAAGTGTTTCGCATTTTGCCAATCAGGGGCTACCTGAAGAGTCCCCAGTGCCACAAGCCGCAAATGCAATGAATGGAAGATGGTAGCTGCATTCTCCCAAACAGCAATGCTTCATTTCCCCAGCGCTGTCAGGGTCTCACAGGCAAACAGGAATGGCAATGGCATTAAGGGGAAGTCGTGCTCCCAGAGAGGGGACAAGGCAGCTGAGGGAGTCCCTGAGATAGATCGGAGTGCCACAAATTGAGCTGGTGTGGGTGGAGCATGGGAAAGCAGCAAAGTGACACACAGGTCCCTGGAATACAGAACAACCACAAACATACAGCAAGAAAAGGTGGCCAAGGGCTTTGGAGAACATCCTGGAGTGAGTATATGCTACTCTGTAGAAGAAAATAGGGCATGAAGAAGTGGTAACTGCTGAGTAAAGGTATCTTGCATTAACTGTGCTGCTCTCATGTGAAAAAGGGAAAACAAATATTTTAATTTATAAAATTCAAAATTGTCTTACACAATGCACTTGCTTAATTTTAATATTATTATTACTGCTATTGTATCCTGACAGCTAAACAGATTCATATCTGCATCCATTTAGACCACTGCCTAGAAAGTATGTTTCTAGTGAATTGGATGAGAAACACTACCACTCAGACCAGTAACTGAAAAGCAGATGGTATGAGAAAGCCTATCTGGTATAATTGGATCAAAATACAAAAGGTGATGTGGAAGAAGCAGGCAAGGACATCCGTGATTTATATAGTTGTCAGGGATTTGCAAATTAGTAACCATATCACAAAATTATTACATTAAGCCTCATAAGAGTTGTATTAATTAAACCTCTATGTTTTTATTGTTTGATTAGCCTTTCTTCATATGACAATGATTACTCTAGGACTGAATGAATGACAAAACCAAAACAGATAGTAATCAGCTAAATATTGGTTGTACAGGGTTAAATCCCACATCTCAGAATACAGATTTCCTACTCTGAATGCATGATATAAAAAATAGAAGTGACATTTTCAGTCACCAAATTGAATAGTTTGCTGTTCAGAAGAGTTAACTTTTTTTATAAATCAAGTAGATTAAGCATATCAAGTAACAGCTGGATACCCATTCATTGGGCTTACATTCATCTATGGCTTACATTAAAACAACATTAACACAAAAGTGTTCTTTAAACACTGTGACAGTCTCTGCTCTCACAAGATGTATGATTGCAATTTGTTAGCAATCAGTCAAATTTTATGGAATTTTAAACCAAATCACATCTTGAGTGAATTTTATCAACAAAAGTCCTAACAATGCACCATTTAAGCATATAATTCAATGAGAGTTTGAAAAGCAAAGTGACTTCCAGAAACAACGAAGAAAATATATTAGTTCAAGATGCCCACTAAGAAAACACAGGTGCAGCAATGTTTCAGTCTGCTATCAGCTTTGTGCCTGTCTGACACTGCTGGGCTGCATCTGGGAAGAGGCATGGACCAGCTGCAGAGCTGAGGGCAGGAGAAGAGGCTGCTTATAGCAGACAGGTGGGTGCAAGTCACAAGACAAGGTGAGCAAGGAGAATCATGCAGTCCACTGCTGTCTACACAAAAGGAGGCATATCAGAGCACTGAGCAAGTTATACTGTGCATGTAAGAGGCCAAGAGGCAGCCTTAGTTTGGCTGTCAGTTTTAACTCAAATGTACTTGTCATACCTTTAAAAAAAAAACAAAGATACACAGAGAAGCAGTAAAGAACTTGCTATGCTAAGGAGAACAGAAGACTGGTTCTGTTTTCCTACACATCTTCAATTTCTTAATGGGAAAAGGGATGGCTCCAGACAGACTGAACATTAATCATCTGGATTCTTTTGTTTAAATTGCATGTGGAGAGAAACTGTAAATAACAACGTGACCCTTAACACAGATTCCCGTCCATCTCCTCGTTATTGGTATATAAATCTTTCCTGAGCAGCTGAAAGGCCAGCTCATCTCTAGCACCACATTGAAGAAAGAACTCCACCACGTACACTCAGAATGACTAAGCTACACCAGCTGCCCACTACAGTGAGGAAAGTCCACCCTGAGCTGTACCATACAGTGCATGAAAATTCCAGAATCACAGATTAGTTCTTTTTGCATGAAGCTGATGAGTTCAGGGCATACTTGATCAAAATGTCTTCATTTTAAAAGCAATATGGTTGCTTGTAAATGTCATGCTAAGTTTCAGATCTGCATGAATAATGCAATAAGGACACAGGTTATCATGTTCTTCTCACAGAAGTAACTGTAGGTTAAAGGCCATTTAAGAGCCTCTACATTTAAATTCTCAGATAAAGTGGGCTAAAAGAAGTTTAGTCTTCCCTCAAATGACAGCTCAATGGTCTGTGTCTTTTACCCCTGCAGATGCAAACATTTGCCTCAGTAAACAGGCTTTTAACAACTTTGGTTTTGTAAATTTAAGTGTCACTCCCTATACATTTGACTGAAGGATTTTAAACAATTAATTTCTGCAATACTTATTTCTCTTCTATACTGCAACACCTGATAATATGAGGCAAATGGCAACAACTGCCTGCTACCCAGGTCCAGGTTCTGTGCTCATTTCCAACAGCACCAAACTCCCAGAGAGCTAAACAGCAGCAAAAAATAAGCTTACCCAAGTGGTCTCATATTTATTAGGCATTAACTTTGATGGGTTAGGTATAGGCTTTCAATCTACACACAACTCAGGAGGGAGAAGAAAGATGATTCCACTAAGACTTCTGGATTTATTTCACTTACTAACCCCATGGAAAGCAGAACCCACATCAGTTCTTATCTTTAAAGAAAAGAATTATGCTTAAACCTCTCCTTACATTCCAACTGTGCTAAAATGACACACTGCAGTGAGGGTGAACACCATTTACAGGTTTCCAAGGACATAATCAGAAGAGTTTCTAGGCACATCTTCCCAAGATTGTATTAAAAGAAAAATACACATTTTTCGATTGGAGATTAATTCAACACAGACTTTGAATTAAGACTCTTACCACAATGTAAACCTTATAATAACAACAAACTCCTGCTTTTTAGTGGGTGCAGAGGGAAGGCAGAAAGCCAGACTCAAGCAGAACCTGTCTTTTTAGCTAGCAAGAAAGCCATGGGCCTATGCAGGAAAACACCTTGCTGGCTTATTTCTTCCAGACTAACTGAAATGAACTTAACCAGCACTCCTCAGTGGGAAAAATTGCTTAGGGGGATGACTACAAGCATGTTTCATACATCCTGCAAGCAGCCTCTGCTTATTCCATTACACCCCAAGTTTTACAGCAAGTAGAATCTTTACCACTGACATATGGCAAATAATGAGGCAACACAAGCTCTTCACATCCCAGAACCCTCCCTGCTAATGAGGGTGCAGGTTGCCACCACTGAACATGACCATCTTCTCCATGGACATCATTGATTAGATACTGTTTAGTTGTTGTAAGGTATTTCTGGCCTAACTTATATGCTAACAATTGGAACTTTCTTAATTATAACACAAAAAGATAATGTTAAATCTTAACTGAAGACAAAATGAGTTTGAGCACTGTCTGAAATAGGGACACTTTGCTCATTTAAGCCCCTCAGTAAGCACAAGGTCAATTTACTTTTTCAACAGAGGCACATGCACAAACATAAACTCACCTTCTCCAAATAAGAAAAAAAAATACTATTATGAATGTCAAAACAGCCTATGAATTCTTTTTACCCAAGTCTCAGGATATAAAAGTTTTGACAATATGGGGAGTCTAAGTCCTAATAACACAATTTTAAATAAAATAGAAGCTTAACTGTTCTATATCAAGGCTTGCTTAAGTTGTTTTCATTTAGCTTGGCCAAAAAGGAAGAAAAAAAATCTAATGCACAGCAAGTAATGGAAGCAAAGCACAGCGATTCTAACCACTGAGCCACAAACCATACAGGGAGTCATGAGAAAAGTCACTTGGCAGTAACAGTCATTCTTCAAATAGAAAATTATCAAGAGTTTGTTTTGGGTTTTTTTCCCTCCTCCAGGCATAGCAGAAAAAGTTATTGAATTCTAAGATGTCATTGCCATTAAAAATGATTGATCATTGTGATGACTAATTAACATTTGGTAGGAAAGGTTCTTGACTTTTAGAAGTCGAGTGTATCAGTCTCTGACAAGCACACAGTAGTCAAAATGTTGTCTTTTGAAACAGAGGGTTTCTCCTTTGAAATAGAGGTTTCTCAAGGAAGGTACTATAGTTCATGTTCTAAGTCCAGACCCCACTTGTCCTCTACAGAGAGGACCACAAAGCTGTTGTCAATCATAAGGAGCCAGTCAAACTTTCCACAGTTTAATTAGAGGTATCACTCTAATCACAGAAAGTAACTGTAAAAACACAGAAAGAAAACAAATCCATGATTACCATCTTAGTAGTTTGTGGATATCGGGCATGGCTCTTTTCTCCAACAAGCCTTTGCCATTAAAAAAGTCAAAGAAATGAGAAGGAAGGTATAAGCTTACTGGAGTCTCAGCTTTCATCTGGGCCTGCAACTTCTCTCTCATTTCCTTCTCATTGAATTTGGCACTTCTTTTTACATAGACTCCTCCATGCTATCAGAGAGAAAAAAAAAGGGAAAAGCATTAAATATTTAAGTAGTTTAATGCAGAATAGCTGACAGAAGAACAAACAAGAGACAATGACAAGTCATCTTTATGACTCACGCTGCAAATTGCCTACAAGAGTTTCTCTTATCGCAAAAACATGTGAAACTAATTTTACATTTGCATATACTTCGGCTCACAAAATCCGTTTAAATAAAAATCATGTATAACACCCCCCAATGCATTAGACACTTGAAGTGTCTTGTTTAAAGGTGCTAAGTAATGAATTAGAAGATGGCATTAGAAGTGACCCCAGGGTATTTATTCCTGGCAACGCTGACATGCAGCTTCATTTGTATATCAAGGGAAAATCAAAGAACTGAAGTTGCTCACATGCAAGTACTTACAGGTCAATGCTTTCAATTCTATGTACCCTCTCTTAAATAGTAACTAATGCAAATACTGGGAATGCAAGTATCATACTTCTACATACAAAATTTATCAATAGCATAAAAGTAACCAGCATAGTTTTTGGAAACCTCCATGCACTTTACTAGAGAACCAGACTTTTAATAAAGAAATTATATACCAAGAGAATAATTAAATAAGTAAACCAAAGTCTTCATGAAGCAAAGAATTCTGTAGAAGTATTTTTACTGAAAAGTAAAACTATGTCCTGGAAGAGATTAATTTTATGACTTGTTGCACACAATTAATCACAAAATTTCAGTAAAAGTACACACAAAAAGAAATTTGCCCTATCATTTCCCTCTTCCAACATGTTGTTTTATCTACAGAGAAAGAATATGTAAACAAAGATGCACCAACTATGAACTACTGTTCATAGTTGATACAATGAAGTCTGGAAAAAACATGATTAGCTTCCAAATAAGAGAATTTCAGGTTTAAGGTACATTGTTTTCATGGTGACTCCATAACTTGGTAATACTCTTTTCTGTTCACCATAAAAATTGGTATTGGGATTTGTCAGACAACTTCTGTTCATTTATGGTTTTGCATGCTCTTAACAGAAAGATGATAGCAAGATTAAAACTACTAAGAGCAGAGCCTCACTCAAATACCTGATCTCATGAAAAGATACAGTACATGGTAGAAACAGGGCTGGTGGCTATGTGCAGAGCTGTGTCCCTGGCATGGACAGGAATAAAATTGGAGGGGTTAGGAGGAGGCAGGCAGAAGAGATGGTCATGCCAAGAGCTTTCAGCATTTGCTTTTCATGGTGTGGAGAGATGGCTGCTTAGCTAGTGGTGTTTGATGTGACTTTTGAGTTGCTCTTCAAAGACTGCAGTGACAGGGAACAGAAAGCCAATGATGCATTAACTCCATACTAAATATTCTGTCTTAACTTTATCATCTGTGGTTCCCTCCCAAGGTGAAGTAGCCAGCTCTAACACTCAGCTCTGCTGCTGTGACTGGCAGGGGACCAAAATCATGAACAGAATTCCCTAGCTTGGCTGTGGCATGGTGTTGGGACTATCCCACAAGCAGTTTAACAGCTTCAGACAGAAAGCAGCATGAACAGAAAGACGTTTCTTCAGCTGTGTAGCAAACAGAGCCTCATGTTATCTCCACATTCCACATGTAAGACTGTTTTCAAGATCTGACACTATTAAAGGGAAACAGAAGCTGAAGCAGACTTAAGTACAGCTGTATTCTGACACCAAACACAACCATCACTTCCAAAGGGGCAAACTCAGTTCAGTATGAGAAAAAATTCATCTACTATATAAGACTTCCATGTAATGGGTAGGCCATCATTCTCTGCGAGCTCAGCTAGATCAAGCCTTGATAATAAGTGAAACCTGGAATTGAGGCATTCCCATACCATCAAATTACTAATCAGCTGCAGCAAACTGGAAAAATACTGAACCAACTTTTCCTTGTTTGATTTGTCAACTTGGACAAGTGAAGTTACTATTGGACTTTTTGGTCACGGACACACACCATGGCACCAAAGATAGATCTGGTGTTGCATGTCAGACATTTTAATGCTCAGAAATAGATTTGCACTTCTCAAGTAAATGAGCACAGAGTCATGTAACATAAGAACAGACAAAGTATCACAAGATCAGCGTTCCCTGCATTCACTCCAACTCCACCACTATGGCAGGTCCCCATGGCTCAGGGGCACAAAGCTAAAGAGAGGCAGGATATGTGGCTAAAACTCAGGAACAGCCAAAAGGGTGCACAAGCTGATGCTGGATAACAGAAAAGATAAAGACATACTCTCTATGTTAGAAAGTCAAGCAAACTGTGGGGTATCAAAAATACTTTTCAAAATTACATCCCAGCCTCATCAAGGGCATAAGATAAATGGGAATGAATTGGATAGTATAAGCAAATAGGAGCGATGGGATGCATTGGTAGCAAATGATAGGAGCAAAAAAATATTTCAGATCCACCCAAAAATAATAAAGACAGCTTTAGGAAAAGAAAACAGTTCTACTTAATAAATCAGACTTGGAACATAATAGGTTAATTTAAGTGTTTCTTTTCTTTCCTTGCTATTAGATAGCTGCCTCAAAAAAGAATGCTAGTTATGTGATTGTATATAGCTCAAATTCCCCTACTTGTATTGTATTTCCTTTTCAGTAAGAGATCAAATATATGAACGCTCTTCAAAACAGATTTCTGGAAGTACTGTTTTTAAGGTTATAATTTTTTTCCGCTGTACTTTAAAAGCCCCTCTCTCAGTCAACAATGGACTGTGTTTACAAATATACTTCCTTTGTGCCTGAATTTTGCTCTCCTGGACATCCAGACCACGTTTATTTCCAAACAGGATGTTTACCTGAGGAAGGGAATATGAATTCCGTAAGCATGGCGTAATTATGTGGCTCTGGAAACTTTTAGTGGAGTGTAAGTGACATCACTGACAGAACATCAACAGGAAGGGCAGGAAGTGTTTTATGTTTTTGCACTGTTTGGTGTGATAAAAACAATAAAAATACCTATTAGCTTGCACTGCAGGCCTTCTGCATCCCGTCTTGGTCATTTAGCCATATATGCATCACCACTGCCTGTCAATTGTGTCACTGATTTAAATATATATATAAATGTATACATAGTCACCCCCCACTAAATCTTGCAGAAGTTTTCTTTTTTGAGGAGTTCAAATATATATTTAATATATACATGTTTTGATTAAAAATGTAAGTGACATTCAGATTAATTTCCACAGGAACCTCCTTTTAACAGTCAATATACAGCTCAGGAAACTGAGCACCGGATATTCCACATAGCAAAAGTAATTTTCCAAAATCTTGAAAAAAATAATTTCCGGAAATCTAGTGATAGTGGGTGGAATATATATCCTGTTTGTATTTTAATTAAAGCAGACTTAATGACTGTAATGACTAAAGGCAAAGAGCAAAATATTTCCATGCAGCAGATCAGTCACTTTGCTGGACAAAAAATGTAAAGAAGCATTAAGGGCAAGCATTAGACAATTGAGAATTCCATTTTCTCCTTATGCATACCCTTAGTGAGGTATGACAGGGTCTTACAGTTTGTAGCTATTCAGGGGATAGGGACAGCACACCTACCAATAAAAGAAATTGTGAACAGTTTTCTCATTTTCTCTGCAGCATACACTTCTCTAAACATACCAATTTTACCAGAAACCATGGCAATCACCCATGCTCCAGCCTAGATCTATAGCCTACTCACTAAAGTGCTCATTCAAAAGACAACAAAGATTTTCAACCATCAAGCTGAAGACATTGGATGTGCTGCAAAGATGAGGGAAAGAGTAAATCCTCCTATTTAGACATACACCTGTAGTTGCCTACTCTTCATACACTCCATTACAAATTAATAAATAGTTCCAAACATACCTAACATAATATTTTTCTCAATCTTCTCCACCTTCTTGCCCTGTTGGACAGGGCTGGCAGTCAATTCAATCAAACTGTCTAATTCTATTAGAAATATTTTCCTAAGCGTGTGGGGGGTTTTGTTTTGGTTGAGATTTTGTGTTTTTGTTTGCTTGTTTTGTTGTATTGTTTTGGTTGCTTTGTTTTTTTTTTTTTAATTTTTTTTGCCTGGGCAATGGGGTGAGGGACAGAAAGCAGATTAATATTCAGAGAACACATGAAGAGAAAATGCAAAAGACAAAAGAGAGAAGTCTTACTGAATAAGCACTTGGAACCACTACCCAAAACTCTATCCATTTCTATTCTAACAACTAAGCACCCATCTAAACCCTGAGATAAGTACCATGAAGCCATTTCTGCTCACCTAGAAAAAGGACAGTACTTCCAAACCCATCCATCTCTACATTTTATTTTGTTTCACATAGAAATAGTTCTGCTTTCAGAAAAAGCAAAAAACAGACATGACAAATTCACAGGGGATTTTAGGGAAGTAAGTCATCTACACTGCTCTCCACCATTTTAGACTGAATATCATATCCACTCAGTATGTTGGCTGCTTAGTGATCATGGCCCACTGTTTCCCAGTAATTGCATAAAATTGAGTCACATCAGGTTGAGCTCTCAGACTAGAATGAACAAAAGGAATATTATGCAGAAAGAGAAGAAAGAAAAAGGTAGGAATACTGTTAGACTCAGGTTTTTGCTTAATTGAAGTCCGAAATAACCATCAACATTTTCATGGACGTGGGATCTGCCTTTCCTCCACACTACACTAAAATCCAATTTTTCTCTTTTATATCATGCTAAAACCTAAACAACTAAAAACAAAGAAGTACATTAAACAGTAATGCCAATTTCCTCCCAATTTGTAGCATGATATACAGCAAAATGAGTCTGTTTACACCTGCTAACCTTCTGAGAGCATGACTACAAACTCGAGTTTTAGACTGTAACAAGAACAAAGTTTTAGAATATTCTGAAATATTTAGAATATTCTGAAATACTCCTAATAGACTCCACAGTTTCAATTCTATTATAAGTATTCATTTAGAAAAATAAGCTGAATTTTTAGTAACTGTTTCTCAACTTAGATACACATCTAACTACACTGAGTGAAGCCAGTTGCTTTCATGTTCAAATAATTGAATGTCAACTCAGCATGCATGGAAAATAGGGACAAAGTACATCTTGCATGTTTGACTCACAAACAGCAAGGAGAGAGTGAAGTGGCTCACCTGTGAAAAGTACCACCCGTAGAGTGGAAGCCATTTTAAGCCATCCTTCAGGACATAGCGGACGTGCCCGAGCGCGTTCTGCCTGATCGCCAGCATGTCCGCGATAATCCAGTCAACTGCAACGACAAAACCCCACAGCAATCAGCTAAATTACCTCCTATTTGCCACTGATGAAACAAAAAGTACATGTTGTATGTATAAATGTCATTAAAGGTTTCTGAACTAGAAGTTCTTGCTTGTTAGGGCAAGCCTGGGAAGAGACACAGTAAACACACAAGCAGATTTTTTAAAATCTATAAAAGTGTTAAGCAAAAGAAATACAAACCTGTACACTGATGATTTGATAAATATATTACATTTTCTTTATTTTTTGGCAAATCCCCGTAGATAATTACCTAAAAAAAATTAAAAAATATGCAGTATTACTTTATAATTTATTTTCATTGCATCAGGCAGTGATGAGATCCAATGCAGTAATAGGCTTTTTACTACAAAAACTGTCAGCAAGTTAGCATCATTAACAGACAAACACCCTATCACTACATCATTACCCACCACAGAGATAACTGTCTTATCAACAAAGCTATAAATATCAATTAAGGATGGCTTAAGAAACTTATTCTGTTCTTGTGCCATGGCCCCAGAACTGGATCCATGGAATGTGACCTTCAGCCACAAGCTCCCTACATGAATATAATTGAAGTTAATGAGGAATCACAGACATGTACAAAATAACCATTTAATTTACACATCTAATGAAAAAGACATGCTTTATCCAGACACCTGCTATCATTCAACCTAAAATGGTACATTTTCCTGGATTACATCAAGAACAAAATCTCAACCATTTGCCATTATTTTAACCATCAAGAGTGAACAAAAAAAGCATGAGGTTAAGGAGTGCCTTTAAATTAGTCTATGTCTTCCAAGTAGCAGGTTTTTTAATATGTTTTTCCTCTGCTACATTAAAGACTCATTTCAACCTTGTAGTGTCTCACCCCTGAAAGGTACTGGTCTACTAGAGAAATAATCTTCTGAGAACATGACTACAAAACAAGATTCTGATGCTAGAATCTTGGTCACCCTTTTAAAATGGGTTCATTCAATTAATTAATTTCTCATTTTATATTTGAAAATAATTTAAATTCTGAACTGAAGAACCAATTCACCTATTCAATTACCTTTAATAAACATTTTCATTACTTAATGAAGCATAGTTTTTCTCACCAGTACATTCTAGGTAGGCTTTCACCCTTGTTCTGCCAGTGGACATACTCCTTGTCTCTAGAAGCTGGCTGTATCAGACATACATGCTACTTTGAAATTATTCCATTTACCAAAAAAGCAAAGTGCTATATGGAAGGTTTACCCACTTATTTTTATCACTTCCCTAGTCTGGGCACTAACATTGATCTCTTAAATGGTATAATTTATTATGCCAAGTCTCATCTTGATCCTTACAGGAGGTCTCTACCAGCATCTCTGGAAACTCTGTGCATCCCTCAGGTAACCTCTGATACTGAACGGCTAATGTCTCACATTGTTAACTCTAGGCAAAAACCCCACAAAAACACTATATGTTTCACATTCCTGCCGTTTCTTCTTTGAAAATACAACCACGCTGTTGATCAAGTTATGTTTTGAAGGCCAAAACCAGATATTGGCAAACTGTGATACTCAGTTAATATGTGAACAAGAGATCATTCAACATAGAGTAAAAGAGGATATAACTTGAGATATTTTTTTCCAAAAATGAAAAAGGCATGCACAATAAATTCTAAGTGAGAGATATCTGTAACAAGTCAGTTGACAAGTATATTCTGAACAGTATCTGAGAAATTTGAACAAGATTCTGCTATAGGAGTAGCCTTCTCCTATAGTAGCCTTCTCCTAAGTACCAGAATTTATAACCTTACTGCTGACACTAGGTACCACTCACAGTTTAGAGCAAGGTAGCAGTCTAAGGGTTGACCTTACAGTTCAGGTGCACAAATTCCTCTGAAATAAATCTTCCTACTCTCACTTATAGAGTTAAAACTTCATTTTACAAGTGTACGCTGTCCTAGCACTGTTATGCACCATGTCCATAAATTCTGTTTTCTTTAATTTCAAGTTAAGACTCCACTATGCAGTTTCTGGCAAAGAGAATTTTAGAGTAAGAGAGAAGGCCCAATACAAGAAATCATTAAACCAGAAGGTCTTGAATGTTATTTGAGCTTTTCTAAAATGTAGAGAAAAAATAAGAACAAGAGTAAAACAAAACTTGCCCTTAACCCCAAGAGCTGCCCCACACAAGAAAAAGGATTTGAAATACACAATTTATAACTTCAACTTGTAAATATTTCCATTTTAATGTACGAAGTCAAAATCTCAGTGCAATCCGACCCACAATTTAAAGCACTAGCTTTGGACTATTGCATGGGTAAAAACAAATATAAAGGATCATTCTCATAAAAAAATATATATTTGCTGGTGTCTGCCAAATAAAACAGTTAATCTGCGTAATTTTTTATTTCAGTAAGATTGGATCTAGTTCACTTTTTAACCTCAGAGGAACACCCACTCACTGTTCCTGTAAACAACTTCTATGCACACCATTATGGCTTACCCTAAGGGTTAGATGTGTTTACATGTAATGCACCAAAATCTTTTACTCATGATAAAACACACAGCCAAACTGTTGTACAGAACTAAAAAAGAAAACAAAAAAGTCTCATTTATATTAGTTCTCATTAAACACACGAAAACTGGATGTTTCATTTCAAAGCAAAGATAAGAATGAGAAAATCTGAAAGCTCTATGTTGCTTGCTCAGATGGCTCAGCCTAAGAGGATGCACCAGCTTTATCTGCAGCATCATCCACTTCGGCACCACCCATCTCACAGATCTCCAGGGAAGGCTTACACAGTTCATCAAAGGCCAGCAAACAGCCATTCACCTTAGACACTCTCAGTTAAAGAACTGAGAAACAAACTTACAACTGTTACTACAAGTAGCTAAGAATGGCAGCTTCCAGCCTGCAGTCCCAGGAGACACCTACTCTGGGCACCCACGCAGCTCTCCCTCTGAGACCATGGCATTTTTGCTTTATGAAAATATTCATCATACACAACAGAATGGTAACAGTTAAGAGCTTTGAATCCTACAGAATGTCCTTTACCCTTTGAGATGGTGTCTGAGGAATTAACCTGCCCGTGTATAAGCAGAATAATCTACTCAGGACAAGACTCCAATTTCTGGCCTTCTGATGTGTTTAGGTAAACCAGAGCACCTAATGCATATTATAGATGCAGAAGGAAACAATACAGTACTCTTCTTCATGGCCTCCAGACAACCTTGGACTTCATGCTGTTTTTCTCAGCTAACTTTGCAGAATTCCTTGCTGTAAAGGCTGTGCAGCCTCCTAACTCTCTCATTTTGCTGGTGCAGATGTTTGGGGGCCACAGTGAATTACCAAATCACAGGATATTCTGAGTTGGAAGGGACCCACAGGGATCCTCGAGTCCACCTCTTTAGTGAATGTCCATATGGGGATCAAACCCATACCTTGGTGCCTCTAGCACTGTGCTCTAAGGCAGCACTTGAGTGACTCACCTGGGACAGCAGGGCAGAAACAGGAGTCCACAGTTCCCACCTTTATTCAAGCCCCTTTGGATGCAACCTGAAGACATCAGAGTGGCTTAGACTCCCAGCCCTCCTCCTCGGAGCAGTGCTGCTCCCAGGATGCACACAGCGTCGGCAGGGCTGGTCTTGCCCCTGCAGCCAGTGCCAGGGAAACAGCACAGGACAGGCAGGGCATGCTTGGGAGGCAATTTGAATTTTAGTATAGTGTTTCACATATTTCATGCATGGCTGTCCAGACACTACAGTATATATATATTCTACCTATCTATCAGCTTAATGAACTGAAAAGTGCCCTGCCAGCCACAATGAAGCAAGCGAGGAACCTGTTCATTTAGAATAGAATTTGCTGTTAAAAAAAAAAAGGCACAATGAAGTCAAGCAAAGAAAACAAGTCAATAGGGAGAGCAACACAGCAAGCCAAAGTAAGTAGAGACTTGAGGGAAAGTGTTTAAAATGCAGATGTACAGTCTAACACCGCAAACATTACTTGTGTACACAACACTGAAATGTGTGCTTTTAGCCAGGTTTTGGTTGCTTAACCAGTCCAGTCTGCAGTAATGGGTAATACAGTTAATGTGGGCCTTTCACATCTGTTTATACAGCAGCACTGTCAAACTCAATACAGTGAGGTCTCAAATACAGGAAACTGGATGCTATTGGATCCCTTCTGTGGGAAGGCTGGCACCCAGCTTCCATGGATGCCACACACCAAGCTATTCACAGGCTCAGCAGCCACAAGACACACCTCAGGGTGTCCTGTCCAGGTGAAGCTTTGATGAATTAGCAGGAAATGACAAGTAGTTCTGCTGGGAGAATATACTGATTCAGTGATAGGCTGATCTAGGCATGCAAATGGGAGCTCCTGGGTGATCTGGTGACACCAGTTTCAGCTTCCCTACCAGACTGCTTTTTCCAGTGCAACATACTTAACTACGGCTGTGCTAATTGTGGTAGCTCATGTAGCAATATGGAACAGTTCTGCATGGCAGCCCCACCCAAATAACCCATAATATGCACACGTTTTCACTGAAACAAAGTGGACACTCCTAATTTAGAGTTAAGAATTTCATTTCTTGCTTATGAAATCTTGACATACTAAAGAAAATTAAATAGATCATTTAATCACATGTTAGCAGTATCAGCTCAGTAAACACTGCCATGGCAAAAATAACTGTAGGCAAAAGTAATCATACTATCAGAAGATCTGCTGCAGGTCAACTGGTGATCACATCAAAGTCCTAGCAAAGAGATTAACTTAATATTGTAATTGGATGTGGCTCATAATGGGAGCAGTTAGAGGCTGATCTGCAAGTAGATCTTCTGATAGTGTGACTTTGCTTCAGCAACATTAAGGCAATACAACTGGTTATTGCTGGTAAAAACTTGGGCCAACTCATCTGGTGTCTATCAGTCCACCAGCACACTCAGTCTTGGTTCCTCAGACTTCTTAACCCTCCTCCCTTCTCTATTCAAAGATACCAGATGTGAATTAAAGAATGATGTCCCCATCTGTGCTGCTACTTCAACAAAACTTATGTTCACTGGAGTACTTTGTGAAAGCAGAGCACTGTGTTAAGGAAAAACATCAGCTTCAAGCACAGGCAAGAGAAACTGGGAAGAGGGATAAAAGCAGGATATCAGAGGAAGAATATTCCACCCCTCTTCTGGAGAACGAGTCAAGACATCAACACTTAAAAAGGACCACACAGACTTCCTATTCAGCTGTACTATCCTCACAAAATGCACCTCTCTCCACTATTTCTTCACGATT